CCCTCTCTCTCAACGCCAGCCTTTCTTATATATAACTTGTGACACAGCAGAAGATTGAAACAAAATCCGCCATGGAAGAAGTCGAAGAAGCACCAAAAAGTTTATCGCTATTTAACCCCATAACTTATGATCAGCCGCTTTGAAATCGAGCCTAGGATGAGGTGAACATCGTTGTTTTAACGCCGCCCAAGTAAAACCCTATTGGACAGCAGGAGAAACACACACGGCAAAAAAAAACTAACCCTTCAAAACCCCAAAGCAATTGACATTTCCGGAGCTTCCATCAGAACCTTCCCCTCTCCATCTTCTCCAATGGCATCAGTCGCTTTTAGAAATTCCAATTCATTGTATTTCAATGTATTTCATTGTATTCTATGTATTTCATTGTATTCATTGTCTTTTTTTTTTAATTATAATTCAATGTATCTCGTTGTATTCCATATATTTTATTGTATTCACTGTCTCGCTATATTTCTTGAATGTATTCATATGTTTTTTTTTAATTAATATAATTTATGTATTCAGATTTATAATTGAGATTGTTGAGTTATATTAGGAGTTTATTATGTTAATGGTTCACTTTCCGTTTAAAAACAACTGAATAAACCATGAATTGCGCTATTTACGTTACTGTATTCATAAATACATATCGTGAATACAGTCGAATACAATAATCTGTCTAGATGTAATCCCTTGTTTCACGCCGTGAATATAGTCGAATACAATAATCTGTCTAGCTGTAACCCTGTTTCATGCCGAGAAATGCTATTGTATTCATGAATACAGTAGCTTAAATACATCGAATACACTCTAAAAAACCTAAAAATATAGCGATAGGAAGTATAGTAAATGGCAGCTACAACTAGCTAATAACCACTAAACAATAGTGGTTTGTGAAAATTTCTCTATTTACAACGATAGCCAGTCGAATTCACCATCTATATTTCTAGTCGATATATATAGATTATACACTATATATATATATATATATATATATATATATATTCATCTATTATTTTTAATTTAGCACTTGGATGAGCGGCTATTTGAATTAATTCTTCTTTCTTTTTCATAATTTCTCACGACGAAAGGGGCAAATAGCCACTTTTATCCTGCTAATTAACATTTAGTCACCATCTTAAATGATCAAATTTTTCACTCTTTAATGCAAAACTAAATTTTGGATTAAAATATACCCCTAGCTAAAATACATAAAAGTTTCTTCAAAACCTTTTAGATGTGAAACTTCAACGAAGTTCGAAAAATTTCTGGAGTTTCAAAAGTGAGAACATTTATGAATTTCAAACTCCATGAAAAAAATTTGAAGTTTGAAGAACTTTGTTAGCATCATAAATCAGGACAACTCTAAAACTCTTCTTTGTAAACACTTTTTACATGTACATAAGAAATGATGTAATTTTACCTTATTAGCAAAAAAAATGTGGCCAAATTTGTATCGTTTAACAGAATAAACCAATAGATTACCAAAAAAAGAACATTGCCACGATTGAGAACATCTTCAAAAGAGAGTAACATTAGAAAAAACATGTTAAGTTGCAAATTCTTGATGATGAATGTCCCTGGAACTCTTATCTCATCGTTCCAATCAAATCCTCGTAGGTTGATTCACTTGCTACTATTGGGGTTATGGTAACGAGCTTGTTCTCCAAGAATGTTAATATGGTTCCTTTGAGTACCATTTGCTGCAAATTAAAGATGGATCAAATTGCAAAAATAAATTGCTACATGGGAGTATCTACATCTCTAAAATAATGAACCACACAACAAATTATGTTGAATGGGGTCCTGAAGTTTGCGGTTCTATAATTGATCGCTCAAGGATAGCTTCAGAATTCGTAGTTCGGGTTCTTTAACTGAGAACTTAAGGACAAAATTATAAAGTTTATGGTTTTATAACTGCCAACTCAAGATCAGAGTCATAAGTTCATGCTTCTACATCTGAGAACTCTATCACATGTAAAATTTCAAAACATTATCATGCTATATTGGTGTTTCACCTAAAAGAGAATTTTCAAACTCCAACACAATGTGCTGGAGTTTTACTTGTAAAAGTTTCAAACTCTAACACGTTGTCCTAGTGGTTTTCAGTAATTTGACTGGGGGTATTTTTATTCGAGTTTTTGAATTAAAAAATGACTATTTTTAACTATATTTCAAGTAATGGAACTTTAAATGTCGATTCAAAAGGTGGCTTGCCCACCCAATTTTTACAGAATGATAAAGAAGAATTAATCCCAATAGCAACGTACATAATGTTTTAAACTAAAAATAACAAGCGAATATATAATATATGTATTATTTACATATAATATATATATAATTGTATATAATCTGTATATATACAAGTCGGCTATGTGTGTAACAACCCCAAAGATAAAAGCAGCCCAATATTTATGAAGTAGATGGGCCTAGATGATAGAGTGTCTGAGTGGATAAGGTATTATCATTTTTAGCACATGCCGGAAACTATTTACATTTGGTAGCCAAAAAAATATATAAAATTTATATAATTTTTATATATGTTTTCGACTAGTAATTTTACAGCGACTATACAATATCATTTTTCCATAACATTTGTATTTCATAAGCAGAGGATAAACAGTGATAGGTTATTGCTTTCTTATATGGTTATATAATATACTGCACTCCATTAGTTTCATTTTACATATTTCAATCATTATTTGGAAAGTCAAATATTTTTTATAAAATTGTGATTTGTCATGCGTTTTATAAGAAATTTACTTATAAAAAGATATACTTATAAAAGATTGTTACTTGTCGTTGTATTTTTATATAGTTTATAAATTTATAAATATGTAAATTTTATATTTCAAATTGAGAGTATTACATTGTCTCATTATCCGTAGTACTCCGACATATTGTTCCTTTTAAAACAGATAAGTTAATTAGCTATTAGTTTTCCACTCACTTATCAGATAAAACCAATATAATGCAGGTTACAACTGGGTGCGTCTGGCATGATTAATGTTTATTTGTGTGCCGTCCCTACCGTTTTCAATTTTTTAATTCGCAATTCAATGTTTAATTAATTAGTGTAGGCTCAAATGAGAATAGATAATAGTAGATTACTTCCATGAGTTACACCAAATCAATAGAGTCGTAATCACCTGTCTAATCAGTAATTAACTACAATAAACTATCAGTAATCGTTTTATGCGGTTTATACAGAAGAGAAAAATCTAGATGTTTTGTTAGTTTAATGACAATTTCATTTGATTCTTGTGTCTTTGTCCAAGACTTATTAAACACAAATGTTTTTTGGATACTCGTTCATTCTGCGCCAAATGCATGTATCTATCCGTTTTGTTAACTATCTTGATGAATCTTTTCTTCTATTTGAAAGATTTATTTAACATTTGGACAACATTTGAATTAGTTAACTTGGAAAAAAGTGTATAAGTTGATTAGTATTATCAAATCATCGTTCATCGTATGATTAATTTGGTTATGTGCTAAGATTTGATTATGTTGAGTATGTGACTTTGTCAACGTGATCTTACAAAGTCGCGTGTTATTTATTTATTTTTTTATCTTTTTTGTGTGTGGAAGAAACAAGAATTAATGTCAACGTTTGTGTGCAGGAATCATAGCAACAAAAAAAGGACAATTGGGTGCATTAAATATTCTGTATTTACACATGGGTCAGGGAAGAGCCGTGATCACTAGAAGTGTGAAGTAAACAACCTACCTAACACAAGTATTAGTGATTGCTTCTATAATTCGAACCCGTATAACCTATAGGTCACATAAACACAGCTTTACTGTTGCTCGGATTCCAAGCTCCCCTTCGTAGGAATCACAGCAACACTTCAAAATATTTATAGTGTTTGGTTCATCTTTTGGAAAAAGGAAATGATTAAGTAGAGTAATAAACAAGGAAGAATTAATGATCACTGGCATATAGCAACTATGTCAACTTTTCATCCTCACATTATGACTGAT